GAGTTTTAACAATACCGTTACTTGTTTTGTTTCACGTTCATAAAAGGCCGCAATGAACTATTAAACCACAAACTAATTTCTAGGCAGTATGGAGAGCGTACTCCATTCACTTGGGCGAAATGATAAGAAGTGCATTTTGATGATAAGATGATTCAGTGATGAAGTAGGAAGAATAATACAATGTGCAGTATTTTAATGAACATCATTTATTATATTTTGAACGTCAGTTTTTTCTTAGAAGGGAAAGTTATTGCTTATTGTTTATAGATGCAAGTCACCTATTCAGGGTGTTGCGGAGTCTATTAAATACTACGACAGACGTCTAGTTATATTTCTCGCAAGATACGAATTAATGAATAAGCAACTGGGCGATGTGTATCTGCTTATCTTACTTCAGCGTCATTGCCACAAAATACACGCTTTGATGTCTTATGGGGCGAAATTCCAAACTACGACCAATAATTTCACGGCCGTTCATAGACGAGTTCACCATTTGGATGATCAAAAGCATTGGCCAGGTCCATTAACTAAATGCTACTAACGTCATACATATGGTCAGTAATATCAAACGTACCTAATATAACTAAGGTAAAATGGTCAGAAGAGCTGCAATTGATAGATTAGTGATTCCGGCTGCTACGGTAATTGGTGCCGTAAGTGTAGTGTAGGTTTTTTATTGCCGGAGACGGCTGTAATCTTTCATTTGATGGCGAGATCAATCGCCGACCTACCGGTCAGCTTGTGGGTTTTCACAACCAGGTATGTCACACCACCGGGGCACCACCCCAACCAGGATAAGCTCTAAGCACCCGACAGGCCTTGTGGCATTTGTGGTAGTGTAGTGCACGGCAATGTAATCGTGTGTAAGTAAAAGTTTAAGGATAAGGCAAGGAAGTGGAAGAAAAGACCACGCACTGTCCATGGTCCGTTTGTTAAGTTACTGCTCCGGCATTTGCCAGGTGTTAAATCGGAGAAACCACGGAAAACTACCGACCAGAGCAGCCGGCTGACAGAATTCTCCTCCAGACAGCGCATGAACTCGACCGTAGCTTTGGAAGTATAAATAGAGCTACGAAAGAAGCCCAATCAAAACCGTGGTCGGATCGTCAGGTACTCATCGGTAAACCGGTTCGGCTATGAAAGTGCAGCAGTAATCTCGTAATCTCACCTCAAGCAGGGCTTGAAGTTCTGGAAGACGGCGTTGTCTCCGATCTTGATGTAGTTCCAGTCGTCCTCCGCCAGAGGGCTGGCGCCGCGCACCACGAAGTTGGGTCTGAACCAGCTGGGGGCCACTTGCTTGCCGGACGGGATGCGCGCGTTCAGGTCGCTCACGGACGCTTCATTGATTAGCATGAAAGGCGCCAGGTCAGAGAAAGCTCCCTGCAAACAATTGCTCGCAAATATTTTGATTTACTGCTGCCTCGGTGGGTGAGGGTTTAGCTTACTGGTCCGGATTCGATCCCGGCTGAGGTGCGTTTAATGTCGATCCTGTCTAGTGGGTGGAGTTTGTGAAACGTGTTGGGGAGGGGGGAAGCTTAGCATGTGAACGTGATGTTCCTTGGCATAGAAGAATACATCAAAGTACTTGTAACATGTGTGATCTTCCACGACTAACAAGATTGAATTTTTCGCACTGCAATTTTCCTGTTCAAAAAACTGTTCAACCATCTTAGAAGGCCCTCCTGCGTGATCCATCCACTCTTTTGCCAAAAGTACTTCCTGAAGAAGCATTTTTCGTTAAATTATTGTCCATCCTCACACGTGATACGAAAACAATGCGGGATGTATTGTTCACGTGATGCATTAATGGTTACGCGTTTTCCTCTTTCCCCACAGACCAGCTTTCCAATCTGTTTTTCTCCTTTTACAGGCATGACCTTCACATTATTGTTGTGAACACATGGAACTCCAGTTTTGACCGCAATGAAGATTCTACACAGGCTGATTAAGTATTTGTCCAGAAGTTCAGCACCTTCTCATGAAATCATAATAAAAATATTTTCCTGCCAATTTTATCGGTATCCTAAAGTGAAGGTTGATATTTAGTTTTTGTTCAAATTTGTTGGTGACTTTTGAAACCTGATTTGATTATCGGCATGAGTTGGATATTCAAAGCGTTTACTAAATTATATGAAGGTGCTCTTTTATTATTGTCAAATGTTGCCTTAAATGTGCATTCATTATCTGTATTAGGCTTGGCTGTTATCTCTCCTCCTCTTGCCAGTATTTTTTCCAGCTCGCCTGGTGTTCTCTTGAATACAGATTATATAGCACTAGCCTCTCTTATCGAAATTTCTTTTGAAATGTCTTTCACAATGGCTTCATATTTTTTTCCTCTCAATCCCGGATAATTTTACACATAATTTCTTGAAACAGACAAAATTCACATACTTATTCCAATATTACCTCCTAACTACCTGAACAGAAAACACGCGGGAAAATGAAGTGAGGTCGAAGAAATGAGTTTCCGGGACCATCCGAGTCCACTATGTACGATACTACCCAAATGACCCTCAACCTTAAGAAGAAAACAACACAGTTATAAAGTGTACAAACGAACTTTTACTGCTGTAACGTAACAAACACACCTTAGTAAAACATACTAGTCACAGTAAAATATATACAAACATACTCTAAGAGATGTTTCAAAACTGCAAACGTTATTTTCGTACACTGGACAACATACAAACAAACTTAACACGAGTCTCACTAACCAAACTGCTTGATGTACTCACCCAATATGACGTTTACAAATTCTTTTCCAGGGAACGCACGGTGTGTCTCGTAGTACTACAAGTGCTCAGTGCCCTAAACTAATTTTGTCCGATCCCATTCGCTTTCCGATATTACCCGATCTTCCTCTATTGCATCATTTTTTAGGTCTCTTTTTAACTTCTAAGCCATGTAGCAACCACTGTGATTGTTTTACTATAATGGTAACTATTCGGAGCACACGTAGGGATAACACACATACACACCAACACCCACGCGGGAGGCGGAATTCGAACCCGCAAACCTTCGAACCGAGGAAGCTACTGCCCTTCAACCTTAGCAACCTCTGCTATCCAGGTCGGCCTTATTGCGTCTTTCGACACACGGATGCGCAAAAACTATTGGGCCACTTACCGTATCATAGCGCATGAACCGATTGTAATGTTTGCGGAAGATGGACCAAGGTTTCTTGTCGCAGTCTCGTCGAGGTATAACATCCTCTTGGTGGTATCCGAGACGCACTTTGTCGTCTTCCTTGAGGTTGAGGAACTTGTGCATCCATTCTGCAGCTTCGTCTCCGCAGTCCACAGACTCTGTCTTCTCATTCATCCACATCCTTTATAAATAATAATGTATGAGAATAGCATTAAATTATTGTCATTAATCAGGAGAAATCATTGAGAAAGAAAGAGAATTTGAGGAAAACTAAAATAATTATAACGTACGTAATGAACAGATCGTACGTATCGGCTTGGTAAATGCAACGTACTACACCTTCACAAAATTGTAAAGTATACTTACAACTGCATTTACTTGGCTGTCAGGGTGACGCCGCGTCCCTGCGCGTAATGCCCTGAGGAAGGTCGCAGAATGGCGACCGAAACGTTGGCACTTTCGCAACGGGCGCGGCGTCACCCGAACAGCCAAGTAAATATTGACTCCGGCCGCGGAAGCCTACGCTTATACTTACAACTAATGATAATTTTGTGAAAGATGTAACAGTGCCATGATTTGATAGTATCATCTACATTTGTACGAGTGATTTTAAGTTTCATTATGGCTGTTGTGATGATAAGCGTCGTTGGTATGGCCATATGTTGAAAAACAAATCAAATCAAAGACGTTCATCACTTGGCGAGGGAAGTTATTTCCCTTTCCTGCCTGCATTCCAGCTCGAAGTGCGATATAGTATGAAATAAAATATTCTTGAGTTAAAAAGGCCACAGGAATAGTTACTCCTGTTAATCCATCTGATTCTGCTTCGCTTCAGTTGATCAAAAAATTACTTCCACATCAATAACATGCGTTGTTTAATCCATAAATTGAATATTTCAATTCGAATTGAAGCTCGATCAATATTAATAAATCTAAATCTAAAAAAATCTATAACATTATGAGTTAAAGCAAATAAATGACATTATACGAGAAAATGCCATTGTAATGTTACTTATTTAATTTTCCGTCCAATCCTTCCAATTCCAAATTTTCATGAAGCGAAAAATCTTAGGCACCTCTAACATAATAACTAGGTGTTAAAAAAGCACATCATTTTTTGCATTATTGGAAACAGTTACGTATTAATGAAATATTGCAATTGATGTCCTTTTATCAACTCAGCTATAACTTGAAAACTTTCAATTCAAACAATTTAAAGGAAGTGTCTGTGGTGGATAGCTGCATTTATTGGAATAGTCTGGGCCCATTAGAGTACTTCCTTCCCAACTCAAGTACCTACCAAAATCACCATACGCCTCCTTACGCTAATCCTCAACTCCTGTCTCAAAATCTCATACTTCCCCACCGCCTGGAAGACCGCCCGCGTCTCCATGATTCCCAAACCTGCAAGGGCACCGGCTCACGTCCAACTTCCGCCCGATTAGTCTCCTCGCCGTCCTCGGTAAAATCCTAGAAAAATCATCCTCCGCCTCAGACCTGTCCTCGATCTTTTAATTCTCCTTTACCAATTTAGTTTCCGCGGGGGCCGCTCTGCGGTTCTCCAATCCCTTCAACTAGCAATAATAATTGTCACCTCTTCTATATACCCACTATCCTCATCGACCTCACCCACCGACATCAAACCGTATCAAACTCACCCACTGACACCGTACCAAACAAAATACGTCTGTTGAAAATTCGCCCCTACGCCCCAAATCACTTATATTCCCTCATCAGAAGTTACCTTACCGTCGGATCCTTGTATCTGCGTACCTTCACTAAAAATTTGGAAAAAATTCCTCTCTAAGCCGACTTTCCTCAGGGCCCCGTGCTCTCCTCAATCCTCTTCTCCTTATACTTAATAACATCCCATCGCCCCCCGCCTTTGTCAACTACCTTCCTTTATGCTTTTCTTCCTGTCCTCCCCACTCAAAAAATCCCTAACACAAACTCAAAAAGCCGTCAGTTCCTTTTACATATAGATTAAAGAAAACAACATCACCGCCAACCCTACCAAAACTCAAGCGATCCTTTTTTCTTCAAAAAATCACCATCTAACCCCCATCCCTCACAATCAGCCAAATTCCCATCTCCTGACAACCCTAAGTTAAATACCTCGTTGTCACGTTTTCCCCAAAGCTCCATTCGTCCCCTCACATCCAAAACACCAAAACCGACCACATCATCAATACCTTTCACCAGTTCCTAACGAACCCTAAAGAAAAGAATCCTCATCCATTTTCCCTACATCCGATCCATCCACCTGTACAGCCGCATCCCCTACCAATCTCGACTACCTCACCAAAATCGAAAAGAGAGTAATCAGCCTAGTTTTTCGACCTCCGCTATACACCAGGTTTAACGACATCTGTTCCTCGCATATCATCCTAACTTACATCCATGACTCCACCAAAACCATAATCCAAAATTTGACCACCAACCTAACATTCCAAAATTGAATTACCCCACCTTCACATCCTATCCAATCCTCCCAGACACTTCCGCAAAAAACATCCCCTCGACATTCTTCAGCTTCTTACCCAATCACCTGATGCAGTGGGCCAACGACGATCTACGAAGACGACTGACGCACCATTGACGTAAAAGCAGAGACGAAACGAACCCAACAGATTAATTACCCACCTGCGACGTGTACTAATCTGATGAAACGACCATCGCCCACTCTCTCTACGCTCCTTCCTTTCCCAACCCTCAATCTATCCTAAAGTTCACGTAACTTCATTAACCTCAGCCTTCCCTCCACTAATGTATTATGGAAAAATAAAATATATTTAAAAGTAACTATAATTTTCCCAAAATCTCTTTTAAACATTTCCTTACTTTCCTTTTGCCTACCTCCTTTTCCATCGTTCTAAAACCCTAATACAATAACCATCGTTCTAAAACCCTAAACTTAAAATAGCACTTATTTATCATAGCGTCTCAATGCTTGTCTCTGTCCGGGGGAGTGAAAGTTGTACAAAAACTTAAGAACAACCCACATCATCTTCAATTGGGTGAAGAGTCCCAATCGGGAGAGGCAGCTGAGAATTACAAAAACCTCAGAAGCGTGCCTGTGATGGCCCTCTCAAAAAGAATGTGTTTGTGTATGACCCATCAGAAAAATGTCTCAAATCGTTACGTGCATCTTATCCAGGAGCCTTTCCTCCAAATGTTGACAAATGAAAAGCTAATGACGGTCATTTTCAAAAGGACTCCGCAACCGTACATGTTACTTCAGGGTTTACATGCCATTTACGGAGATAGAATTATCCCATGTGGTTTGTGACCTGCACCTCTCCTAATCTGACCCCGTGAGCTTCCTTTGTTTGGGAGTTCATAAAAGATCGCGTATATACGACAAATACCACAACGGAAGAAAAATTAAAGCGCAATACACAGGAATAGAGCTCCGCAATTCGTCAGGATATCCTTTACCGAGTAAACCAGAACTTATTTTGATGTCAAGAATGTATCAGAGTTGCAATGAATTGTTCTAGCATCTACTATAACACGAGTAAAATTTAACCTTTCCGGTAGCGAAAAGCCACCTTCGCTCTTCGGCGATTCTCCCGTCTCGACTCCCGGCATCCGCGGCCTCGTTGGCCGAGGGCAGATCGGCGCGCGCCCGTCACACTAAATGGTCGCGCTGTATTATGCCCATTTGGGTTTCTTGTCTACTTACTCAAAATAATTTTTTCTTTCTGGCGGTCCGGAAGGAATACGAAGAGTCAAGTCTTTCATGTCTGGAGCTCTGAAAATCACAGTGCCTGCTTCTCCAGAAGCCACTTTAATAAAAAACAACTTCGGATGCTGCCGACATGTTCTCATGACACCAGCTTCATTGACTACAATAAAAAACCTGGAACAGGCGCACAAAATACTACTTTATTAAAATGTTCCAAAATAGTTTGTATGTGATATACGTAAGTGGTATTTCCAAACGTTTTAAAGGTCACCATGTAAACCCCAAAATTCGACCGGAACAATGATTCTCAACATTTTAAATCATTTGGAATCCCTAGCAAAAGGTTTTGTAGTTATATTATTAATGCAATTATCAACACTCCATAGACAATATTCTAAAAAAACTGATGGTTATCTTCTAATTTAAATTACTAAGGATGTATGTTTCGAAAGCATTTTGAGCTGTCTACTAAACCAAATTTCGAGATTTTTGCTTTACTTTAAGTTAGTGTCCCCGGATATGTTATATCTTGCTATTTTTTACCAGTTTAATAACATTAACTTTACATTTTAATAAAATCGTAAAATCAATGGATTCAATCATGGAGCTATGAATATATTCACAGAACCATGGAATGAATTAGAATGAATGTTAACCTGTCTTTTTTTTTTTTTTCCGGGTTGAACATAGAGTGCGATAACATAGTATTGTCACATCGCGCAGGTAAGTCTACGGGTGTGAGGTTCAAAGGCCATGCCTGTGCAAACATATACATAACAGCAGAAAATGCATGTCTTATTCACGATAAGATATCTATTTTTCGCAGATAAATTGGTACAATGGTCATTTCGTAAAGACAGCAGGTATACGAGTTCGTATGAAGCTTTGCTAAAGAAGTTTCGCGGATAATATGACTGAACAATCACGATGTGATACGCTTATTGGTACATTTGCTCCTGGTGTATTTCACTGAAGGAAATGCTTATGAGGCATTGCTCATACAGCAATTAAAATACTGGAACTACTAGAAATACTAGAATATTAGAACTCAATGCTGGGTTTAATTTAAACAAAAATATTTAAACCAAAAGTGTTTGCACTTAACCTGAAATACCGATTAATTGTGTTCGGGACAAAAGCAATAGAAAAGAGAACGAAAACATTTCAAATTCTTGTGTTTACAAAACTGTAACTCCTGTGCGTTTCTTCTCAATTACCGTTAAATTTCGGTGGATTCCAACTAGTGTTCGATTTGTAAGGCGAAACAAAAATCCGTAAATATGCTTCTCCTAGTTAAGAAATTGCCCCGAAAAGGTAAATCAAACTAATTTATGACTAAAACTTAAAGTATTTAATTAAAAGTTCAATAAGTGCCTTAACTTCCAACGTTCACATCAGGAACAAAGATTTTAGTCACTTAAAAGAGCTTGTTGGCAATGGTAGTGATGAACTAAATATACAAGGTTTTACTACATAGGAAAGACTACATAGCGATTTGTGCCAGAATTTTATTCAATTTTTATTGTCGTTATAACAAAAGTAATAAGTAACAAATTAATGTAATAAAACTTTACCTAAAACGGAACGTTTGTGACGTATGGCGGAGAAGTGTAATCTGCGCACTTTTTTCGAAATAAACGCATAGTATACAATCCACGCAAGTTTTTTGAGCTCTCATTACAGTATATAAATAATATACAATATAATGTTTTCTTGAGTTCTCGTTTCGCTAGATGCTGGAGAGTAGGGGGAGGGTTGGCTATTTTGATGGGAGAACTATAAATAAAATAGTTTGTAGCTCGTGTGTCACTGTATATAATTTATATTACGCGTTGTATTCCTTGCAATTTTTATTTATAATTCAACTCTTTTGGTAAAGGAGAGGAGGCTGGGATTCTGGAGCTCAAAACATGTAAGTATAATTCGAGACGTGATGCAAAGACTTTGAAATGATTCGCAATAAAACACTTATACTCTCCCATATGCGTACCTATCTCTTAGTTTCACTGCTTCCTCCCCAATAGTGCGAACCCCAGTGTCGATGCATTCGGCTTCTTTCAATGTCAAAGCAGCTCCCGACTTCAGAGGGTATATTCGTAGTTCCGCCAGTTCTCCCACCCGGCGCCACTTGGTGGGCATGCGCTCGCTCTCGCGCCGCCTCCTCTGCCACCACGTGGTTACAACAGCGGCCGCTACGAGAGCTGCCGCTGTCGACACCACGACAGTTGTATTGACACGAGCGTTGTCGCCCAACATCGTCCTCTGTAATGTACGATAATAAACAATTCACTTATAATTGTAGTACCTCATACGAATGAATCTTAAAGTTCTTTTCCACTATTGAATGACACCTCAAACAAGAACAATCACAAAACGGCGTGAATGAAAACCGACAAACTAGAAAAATTAGAAACTTTGATATACTCCTACAAGGGGTGGCTGTGTATGATTAGGCAAGACACGTACAATATTCAAGTGTATTACATTACTCGACACCTGTGCTGAAAATTTCAATTAGTAGACGTGTCAATCTGTATTCAATGATTTGATTTTATAACATTAACACTACTATTTTTGTTTATTTCTTGTTTTCTTCGCTCGTTTTGCGTGACGTTCTTACGGCGCGGTCAATGAAGAGGCACACAAAGGCTTTGACCTTTCCACAAGTGAAGAACACTTTCAATTTCCTTTCAAGCGACTTCGAGGTTGGCTTGTTTCATTACTTACTACGTATTGGGAAACAAATGCCATATGGTTTGTTTTTTTACAACTTTTAAATTTTATCCGTCGTATCTTTTATACAATTTGTATCTCAATGCGTATATCATTGACGTGTAATAATGTGACCCGTGTTTGAAATAGTATAGTTCTTCGGGGAAATTGAAATAGGAATTTAAGAATTTAATCAGAAAAATTAATGTTCATGTTTTGCGTTCTTTCGCAAATACACTGACGATTTCCCAAAACTGTCCTGATCAAAAGAAATCTGTCCCTTGAAACCGGAGAAAAAACATTAATTAACCCATAAATCATGACCACCAATCGATAACCTATTGTTGATAAAAAAACGATAAAAAAGTGGAAATTATTGCCTGCTATGGTGATACAAATTTACAGTAAACTGTATTCATAATATTTCAATAACATTTGGAAACGATGGTTCTGGATTTTCCCTTTTCTTTACAAAATATAACACTGAAAATCACGACAACAAAAATCTCATAGATATGTCTTTTCACGCGTGAAAAATACTGTAGCATTATGTAATTTGCGCCATTATTTTCATTCCTTCTTTCATATAATTATAACGAACAGCAGACATACAGTTGTTTTTCTAACTGTTTGCAACTCTCAGCAAATGTGTGAATTGAAATATCAAGGGGAGGGCTCCAATTCGCTCTACTGTTTTAACCGTCTACCTACGAGTCGAATGAAATATCGAAATGCACTGGAGGACAAGTTAACATCACAAATTCACACTACTCACTTTGCGGCTTTCTACATACGAGTCATGTTTCAAATGCAATATTCATATCAACAGGCGAAACACTTGATCTTCCTTCGCAGTATTAATGAAAACGTCCCTTCATCTGCAAAACAGTGAATCTGTCACTTGGTAACAACACAAATCTTACCTTGCGCTGTGCGTTCTATAACGCAAGTACCGCAGCCTCACGATATCGCTGCGGGATCTCGGGCAAACTGAGTTGACCTTGGTGAGCAGAAGCGAGACCTATTCCAACTGCCGCTACGCGTCGCTCTCTCCGCTAAGTGGAGTCCGGACGCTGCTCCCGCCACCCGATTGCTATGACACGTCAAATTTGACCTTCCGATATCGCACTCATAGTACACCTGCAGATTCTTTATTATAAAAAAGTTACTGTTTCAGTAATTTTGTTTACGATGTATGTTTTGTTTAATGATTACAACATTCGACAGAATATTATGTTTCAACTTCGTTAGTAGTAAACCAAACACGATTATCGAAAGCAGTTAAAAATCATATTTCATAAGCAAAGAAAGCTAAGTATTAATATAATTAGTTATTTTAGTGCATTCGTTTGTCGAATGTTTCAGAGGCGGGGATTACGGGTCTTTTATTGCGAGGGGGAGGGGGAGCAAAGGGTCCCCCAACATCAGATGGGAAAAATTCCCCTACACCAAATAGATTGTGAGTAGTTACACTATAATTCTAATAAAAACCCAACAATTTTGAAAGATTTCTTAGCCCCCGTCCCGCCCACCACCCACCCCTCTACAGGCAGAAACGTGTTTTTTCATGATATTTTTTTTCAACTTAACACTATTTTTTCTGATTGAATATTTTTAAAATAACAAAATAATTTTTACTATCAAAAAATAATGTTTGATATTTTCTCAGTGCCAAATCCAAACGCAAGTTTTTTTTAATAACAAAAAATAATTTTTACTGTCTTTGAACCCTGGAACATTTGAAAAAATCTCAAAAGTTCATCTTAAATCACAAACCGTCGGAAATTTAAAAAAAAAAATCGATTGCTGACTTGTTCTTTTTATTTTCTTAACTACATGTTTACCATTTTAAATCACATACACTTTGAAACTGAGTGCAACAGTTTTATGCATTTTTTAGTGTTTATTACACATTTGTAATGTAAATTGTTCTTTTGTCCAAACAAACAATGAAACTTTTTTGATAATGCTACTGACATTATGATTAAAACATTTTCGTTTTCATTATTACAGACAAGTGAAATTACTCTAATAACACTGAATATAAATTTCCAGAGGAAATAACAGTTTCCTTTTTTTTCAATGTACACTTGGCATCAAACAATTATCAAGCATTCGTTGCAATTTATCTTACATTATAATGGAAAAACGTACTCACAAAATATATAATAAAGAGTTTCACTCTACGTCATATGTATATTTTCACATTGTGACGTTTTCAAAAAATGTAATCACGTAGTTTTGGGCCTCTAAAATACTGTATTGTCACGCTAGAACTCCTGGATCACAGAAAAGTTAGTCACTCGGTGACTTTTTTGAATCTGTGCGTCTCGTCGTTGACAAATTTCTTCTTTTGAAGATCTGTTAAAAAAATAGTTTTACATGGAGACAACGGCCTAAAGTTTGCCGATTACGCTTCTATAGATTACACGTAATGCTGGAAAACACATGATTTTTATCGCATCGCGGACCCACAAACATTTCATGAAAAGTATCTATCTTTCGACATTCGGAATATTAAAAACACTAGGAAATTTGTAATGATATAATTTATTTAATCATAATATACGTGTTACTTGCAATAATAAACAATATGGTATATACTATATTTTGTGTGTTTAAGTGAATAAGGTGTTTAGAATGAGTTGTTTGTCACATTCACTTAAAAATAGGTATTTGCAATCTTACGAACGTAACTGTAAGAAGTCGAACATAATAAGTTAAATGTACTTTCATTTTGTACCATTACTCACAGTTTGGTTTCCCCACTGTTCACTCCACTCTCTCACTTGAAGTTCTTCAGCCACAACAACCCACATTTTGGTAATTTCTTAGAATATTCTGGCGAGATCAGAAACAAATTATAAGTTTCCCGCCAGGAGACCGAGGCGCATGGAATGACACCTCGTACGAGTATGTCTCGATTTGTGCATGGGAAGTGGTCTAACAGTAAGTGAAGGAACTGCACTCATGCACTCTCGCAGATACTCAAATACTATAAATGGGCTAGTTGAACGTGGCGTCGCCGACGCTGAAAACTGTTTTAAAAGTGTTTTAATGTGTAGAAAATTTATGTCATCCATAGCTTTAGTCAAATAAATTCTTAGTATGTATAGAGCGATTCTCTCGCTCGCTGTCTCTTTCTCTCTCTCTCTCTCGCCGTCGCTTACTCTCCCTCGCTCTCTCTCTCTCTCTCTCTCTCTCTCTCTCTCTCTCTCTCTCTCTTACTCTCACTGTCTCGCTCTATCGTTCTCTCGCTCTGGGCTGTGATTGTGGGACGCAGGTGATAGTGGTGTTGCTTATTACTAGCGAAGGGGGAAGGTAAACTTTCTTAGTAAGAAGATTTTTGCTATTGTTTCGTCAGGATTAAGTTGAATTTTCCAGATGTTTGCCCATTTTTCAAATTTAATTAAGTGGATTTGACTTTGTGATCGGGGGTTATTTAATGAGTATTCTGAGGCAGACAGAGCTGTATCGTCTGCAAATTGAGCTATATTAGAAGTTTTTTGATAATGGAATGTATGAGATGTATATGTTGAATAATGTTGGAGATAAAGGGGAGTCTGCTTTGATCATGTGTGGAGTGAAGTGGTAATTGTTGACTATCACTGAGATTTTACGTACTGTTAGGAAATTTTTGATGACGTGGATAATGTAAGTTGGAGTTCCACCTTTTATTAGTTTGTAGATTAGACCAGGGTGCCAGATTCTGTCAAAAGCTAGCGTGATTTTCAGGAATGTAGATATTACGAGTTGCTTTTTCTGAAAGGCAGAGTGAATGAGCTTAGTTATTCTAAGTAGTTAGTGGGCAGTTGAGTAGTGAGCAATAAATCCGAATTGATATTTGGAAATTATGTTGTTTTAGAGATGCTGATTTAATCTGGCAACTATTAGTTTTTCAAATATTTGGGCAATAACTGGTAGTAAACTGATAGACCGGTAACTCTCTTCTTTGGAGTGATTTTTTTGTGGTTTGAGAATGGGTTGGACGATTGAATGTTTCCAACTTTGGGGGAAGTATCCAGTTCTTGAAATTGGAAAATAAATATTGTTTAGGAAGGTTAAGGCTGATTGTGGGGGTATTTTTTAAGATTAATTAACAGATTTTATGTATTCGGGGGCTTTCTTGTTTGGAAGTTTCTGAATTTGTGTTTTCGTTTCGCGAGAAGATATGTATTCTATGCCGTGGAGAATGTAAAATATGGGCGAATTGGCTATTAGAAGGGTTGCGCTGTGCTTAACGTGAAAAGGAGACTTATTGGGCGTAAAGGTATGTGGAAATGTTTTGCTAATGCTTCTGCTTTGGCGCTAAGAGTGTATTTTTCTTATGTTTGTTGAGAGAGGTGGCATTGGATTATATTTTTCAGATCTTTTTTTGTAAATTGCCATAAAGATTTATTTCTTAGATTTAGAGATTGTAATAGGGTTTGTATTGGTGCTGTCTGAAAGTGTGCAGGACCTATTTCCAAGTGTTATTTAAAGATTGTATTCTTTTTTGATAGATAGTATTCGTAATGAGTTCTAGAGACTTCTGGTTTTATTTTTTAATG